GATGGCAAGGACTCTGACGGAGATGCAGTAGCCGGCAAGGATATAATTGTATCGGTGGAGACGACATTGGTTGACGATTCAGGATCCGACTGTTGCATCGTCGTCGGTTGTGATGGCGGGGTGTCTGAGGTATGAGATTGAGAGAGCAAACCAGAGGACATTGTTGCTGGTGAAGGACCCGAGCTGGGTGGCGAGAGTACTTGAGAGGATGTGAGTGGCCAGAGAGTTGTGGGAACTGAGGAGTGTGGAGGAAGAGGGAATAAATTTAAGAGTTCTTGAGAGGAGGAAGATTGCTGATTGAGAAGAGAGACGTATGGGAATTGGTGCTCGTCAAATTGTACATGGCGAGAGACAAAAAGGCGACTGTGAAGAGGATCGAAGCAAAGGTACGCACTATATGTTAGAGAGTAGCCTAAAAACACACATGGAGCTGAGCGTGGTTCTAGTTTATGGGATCGATAAGACCGAAGCCAGGGAAAACAGAGGCACCCGAACACCTTTAGCTTGTTGTAATTAGGTGCAGATTTGAAGAGGAGAAGATACGGGGAATTGAGAGATAATACTGGAGTCGGCATTTGATTGATCAGATAGACCGCAGTAGAGAAAGCATAGGACCAGAAGTCAGAAGCTTGGCATGATGAAGAAGAGAAAGTCCGGTTTCCACTATATGTCGATGGCGTCGCTCAGCAATCCCATTATGTTCCGGTGTATGAGGAGGAGAAGTGAGAAGAGTAATTCCTGCAATAGAGAGAAAGGTAGGAAGAGCAATAAACTCTCATCTGTTATCTGAGAAAAGTGTTTGAATCTTTGTTTGAAAGCGATTTTCAGAGAGAGCTTTGAGTCGAATGAATGTCTCTTTGACATCAGATTTGAGTTTAAAAGGATAAAACCATGTGTAGCGTGTAAAGTGATCAACCAGAATAAGATAGTGTTTGTAGTTATCTGTAGAAACTATAGGAGATGTCCATAGGTTAGTAAAGAGTATTTGAAGAGGTTGTGTATAAGTAATAGATGTTTGAGAAAAGGATTGTTTGTGACTTTTATTAATAAGACAATCGACACAAGAGACAGATTTTGATAAAGATTCAGAACATGGTAGGGAAAAATATGATAGAATAGTTTGTAGGATGGGAAGAGAAGGATGACCAAGGCGAGAGTGCCAATCAGAAACAGAGAATTTAGTGGATGATGTAGATAAAAAGGCAATAGGTGTAGAGAGTGGCCACTCATAGAGCTCATCTTTAGTACGCTCTTGGAGTAATAGGGCCCCCAAGCTCAAGTCCTTCACCTGAAAGTGAGCATGAGAGAATTCCACAGAAACCTGATAAGTATTACATAATTGATAAACTGAAAGAAGACTCTTTTTATTACAGGAACATAAAGAACATTGCGTAAAGATAATGGCTTATAGGAAGAGAGTAGGAAGGCAGAACCGGTGTGGGTGATAGGGAGAGCATTGCCATTTCCGACAAGAACTTCCTCTCCACCATTGTAGGATTGATGAAGGGAGAGATTGGCCAGGTCATACGTGATATGATGAGTTGCACCAGTGTCTAGAATCCAAGGTTGAGTGTTTGACGTTGTAGCAATGTTGGCGCGAGGATGCCAAGAAGGAGGTGTGTGCGGAGTGGGAAGAAGACCATTTTGACGTTGAGGACTGGAGGACTGAGTAGCTTGTAGCTGGGAGCATCGTCTAGCAGAGTGCCCTTGAACACCGCAGAGTTGGCATCTACCAAGGTACGGACGTGGAGAACGTTGATTATTGTTTGTCCATGGTTGATGCGTATTAGTTAAGGTGTTGTGCCATTGTTGATTTGAGCGCTGGTTGGGCTTGTTATTGAAGCGAGGACAGTTGTTAGCATAGTGAGCAGAGATGGGAAGAGAGAGAGTTGTCGTGGATGAAAGCAGTTTAGCTTCATGGTTAAGAAGCTTCTCAAGGAGTTCCGGAATTGTGGGAGGGACTTCTCTGCCTTCGGTTTGGTCAATGATGGGTTTGTAGTCATCTTGAAGCCCTTGAAGAACATAGTCAATTTGATCCTCATGATCGATCAGTTTCCCAAGCAGAGCGAGTTGATCAAATCTGGTGGTAAGACCTTGAATATACTCATTGATTGTCTTGTTGCCTTTGTGCCATTGCTTGAGTTGGTGTTGCAATTGTTTGATGTGGCCTCTGCTAGGTTTGGCATAGAGAGAAGAAAGAGTGGCCTAGATCTCAACAGTTGTTGTTGCTCGTGAGACAAGAGGCTGAACAGAGAGGGATAAAGCTCCAAGTAAGGCGCTGAAGATCAATTTATCTTGCCGCTTCCATAAGGTATAAACTAGATTGATTGCTTCTGTTTCATTTGTTGTGATGGTGAGATCTGGTTTCTTTGCCGTTTCATCAAGATAAGCAGCCAACTCATACTCATCAAGGAGGGTCTGAACCTGGCGGCTCCACATGAGATGATTATCGGTGGAGAGCTTGGTAATGTTCGCCATATTGATGTTGAGAAGGGAGGGGAGATTGATGGAGACGTTTACAGCGGGAATGATAACATTGGGAAGTGAACCATTAGTATCATCCATTATGATAGAAAGACGAGAAAGATGAGTGAAAGAGAAAGAGACGAGTGTAAAGAAGAAAGAGAGAAGAAGAAGAAGAAGAAGAAAGGAAATAATAAAGAAAAAGAAAATGAGATACGGTGTAAAAAAAAAATTAGGTCTTTAGGAGCGTGAGCTCTGATATTATATAGGATAACAATGTTTCTTATCATTCCATTTGCAAATATACATGAATATATACATAAGACAAGAATATTCTAGAGAGCTAGAGAAGTAAAGAAATGAATCAAAGAGAGTGATTACAGGGATTGAATTGTATAGACTGAACTTGTTTCCTTAATAATGGTAGCGTTCATGTATTTTGCTAAAAAAACAAAAAAAAAAATGCACTCAGGTATAAAACTATATTGGTCTCTGGTTTTTTTATAATATAATCGATATTTGCTTATTTTGCTAGTAAGTTTTTTTATCAATGGGAAATTATGGCTTTTAACCTAATATTTTTAAATGTTTCAAACCGGTCGAGTGATAATTCAAGTTCAGGGATTTGATTATGAATTTGAATCCATGAAAATGTAATAATAGATTGCTAGCATTTGATGTAGTTGATTGAATTTGATTGTTTGAAATATTAATGTTTAAAATAAAACATACGGCTCCTCTTGTCTCGTACGAGTTTTGACCCTTTTGTCGGTAGGTAACAACCTATAAATCCAAAAATTGAAACTTTTTACATTATACCAAATTTCTTTTTGTCATCTGTTAATATTAAACATCAAGGTGAAATACGATGTTGAAATACAAAGCCGACGGAACAACGAGATGTCCTCGGAATCTAAGCCGGCGGAAAAACTAGATATCCCCGGAATCATAGCCGGCGAAAAACGAAATTTTCCCGAAAACAAACCCCAACTAAAAAAATACATTGAACTTAAAACCCTACAATGATATTAGTCCCAAAACTGCAAAAATTCAGATCTTGATGAAACCTATTAGCGGGGTTTACTGTTGCCGTCCCAGGCCACCGAACAGTAACGCCGTCTTCTTGTAACCCGAAACCGAAGCCTTCATAATCTGGCAAGAGAAAACCTTGTTGATTGACAAATCTCCCAGATACGGCTACTAACGCACACATGCGCCAATTGTTCGCCTAGATAGAAGACCCAAAAAAGAACCACTACGATCTCAACAGATCTGGAAGGAAGCGAAGCCTCAACACCCAAACCAAGCCAAACCGCACCCAAAAGGAGAACGGCACGGCCGAAACACCGGATGAAAAGCGCCATAGCAGATCCACCAAAGAAAAGAGATCCTTGCAGAATTAGAAACAGAACAACAAAAAGGATAACGCCAAAACGTACTTTTCAAAAGGGGACAAAGCTACAAAGATTTCAACAGAAGAAACAAAAAGAAGACAAAGGGATAGAAGCCAAAATCGGAGACTAGATCTGAGAGAAAAAGCGATCCAACAACACAAACAACATAAACCCGGCGCCTCCTTCTCCTCTATAACAAAGATCTGATCAGATCTGACTTAATTGACTAAAAGCCCCCAACTTTCTCTTTATACTTCTCCAAGAACGAAACCCCAAAGAGAAAAACTATAACAACAAAAGAGAAATTTAACTGAACAAAGCAAAGAAACAACCTAACCGATGTCATGGCTAAAGAAGCCCACGGACGCCGACCGGAAGACAAACAAATCTGACGACTCTTTTTTTTTTTTTAGAGAGAAGGCGGAGAAATTTTTTTTTTCAAAGCTGATTTTTATCATACCAAATTTCAAACTCAGGGATTTTATACAACAGTAATGTTTTTTTATTATTAGACCCTACAGAGAATGTACATTTCAAACAAAGAAAATATAATTTACTGCATCTATGTAGATTTGTTAAATTTAAGTGCCCTAGGTCGTCACGCTCAAATCTCTGCGATAGATTTGATTCGATTATATAAATCCTCCAATATGGCCGTATCATCAGCCAATTATATTCAAATCACCCTAATTAACGTATACTCGTAAGTCGCAATTATTTGCAAGAAATGATTATTAAATATTTGGAGTGTCCAAATATCTACCTGGAAAATACGAAGCAATCATGACAGAATATCTTGAAACTCACCACTCACATTTCAAAATCCAATGTTTTTTTTTCCCTCTGAGTCTCTGACACAAACAAGTGGAATGTTGATGGACATGTTAATTGTTAACATAACCTAATCAACAATAACAGAGTTTAGTATTTTTAATGTCCGTGTTATATAGAAATTTCCTTCAACTATGCCAATATATAGATAAAAAAACATTATGCCAACATATAAATATATAAATATATATATAACTTATGCCAATATATAAATATATGGAAGAAATTGCGATGATAAGATGCGTTGAGCCTTTTCTTTCCCTGTAATAGTTATCCTTTATAACTATTAACATATCATCATATAAAATAAAAGCATAAGAAACAAAAAATCCATCATAGAGAACAAGTAATTAATTAACCAACCAAACCACCGTTAAATTACAAACCAAAAAAGAATATTTAAAAAAAAAAAAAAAGAGTACTCTTTGGTCTTTGGTCTTTGTCTCAAGAAGATTGAGAAATTAAAAAAGATAGAAACCCTAGAAATTAAAACCAGACATCCCCCATATAGTGAAAGTGGTATACAAACATGTGATGACGTTAATATATAGTAATATTTTTTATTTATTATGATGATCTTCATCTTGATCTACACCAAAGGAGTGTTGAGTAACCCATTATTCCAAGATGAAGCCAACCCATTCCAGCTTTCCCTTCCAGGATCAATCTCGGGTACAACTCCGGCAGAATCTCCGGTCATCTGCCATGGAAATCCCCATAAAACCTTGCTTGGATTCTCTGAGATATTGTTGTTACTGTTCACATTCTCTGGCTTTCTCTCATTTCCATCCAAAGAAAACCCCAAAGACGAATTCTTGCTTTCATTTCCATTTCCGGACATGAAACCATAACACAAACTACCATTGTTGAAATTACCGTTTTGCCCTCCGAAGACCCCTCCGTTTCCGAAAACACCAGTTTGTGTGTTCGTTGAGTTTTCATAAATAGAAAGGTCGCCTCTAAACCCAAAAGAAGGAGTAGCCTGAGAAGAGGAATGCTTATGAAGAGTAGCGAAAGCGAGGTTGAGATCAATGGAGTCATAACCAAAGGGCGATGGCATTCCAGTAATTAAAGAGTTGTGAAGTGGATCATTATGGAAATTAATGGGCTTATTGTTGATCTTGGAGAAAGCTGAGGACGAAGAAGATCGTTTGTTTCGACGGCAACCACCACCAACGGGGACGTTACGGAGAGTGCCGCCTTTAGTCCAATATCTCCGACAAGATTTGCAGAAGTAACGAGGTTGAGTGAGACTATAGTTGTTATAGTAACAAAACTTTGTGTTGGGAGATTCACATCTTGGACATTTTTGAGCTTCACCTCCTAATTCTCCTCTTCCTTGCTTCTTCTTCATTTCCTCTTCCATTTTCTTAATATTGTTATTGCTTCCTTTCGTCGAGCTTACCAATATGGTTTCCAGTGTCTCGTTTGAAATTTCCTGCACATTCAAACAAATCTAATTAAATTATGAATTATGATGACGAGTGAGTTAATGATGAATTTCTTTATATATAACCGACTATGTGACTTGGCGCCGATTCTTTTACCGACAATAATTCTTGTTATACCATCTTGTCTATGTGCAGCTACAAGAAAATGAATGTTTCTTTTATGGGTTGAGATAATGTTAGGGTAATTAAGTTCATACTTATATTATCAAAATAACAAGTTAATATACCTTTTAATATGCAATTGATGGTTGTCAAAAAAAATAAAATAATATGCAATTGATGTAGGTCTTGAATGAGTTTTCTGTTGCTATAAATAGGATTTAAATTTGCATGATTTTTAAGTGTTTGTGTTTCAAATTTGGAGGATGGAAGTACTAAGAAGCTCAAAGTTATAAACAAAAACAAAAAAAAAGATCTACAAAATAGAAAATGATACAACAATAAATTACCTGTTGAGGATCCATCCATGCAACAAAGGATCGAAGCAACGATTACTTAGTTCTGTAGTAATAATTAGTAATTATGGTTGTTATTTTGCTCAGACCCCAAAAGAGCCAGGGAACTAAAGAGATAGAGAGATAGAAAAGTGGTGAGCAAGATATGAATAGAGGAGAAGAGCACGGTTCTTAATATATAAAGCAAAGATGATAAAGTGGGTCCGTTACTCCTTTTTTTTAAAATATGATTTTTTTCTCTTATTGTAGCTACATATTATTTTTTATTCCTAGGTATTTTCCCACATTTAAGCGACAAATTCTCGCAAAAGTCTTCAACAATATACGTTTAACTAATTAGTACTTTTCATTGATAAAAATTTATTTTCTTTTGGCGCAAACTAGGATTTTTAGCATTGTGATATATTTAAAATATAAACACGCCAGGAGTCTTTCTTTTAAACTAAGATATTAAAATTGATCAACAAATAAATCTTTAAACTAAAAAGAATTTCTAGAATAATTTGTTTATTTTTTAAAGGAAGGAAGTGGACAATAGCATTAGCAATGATAATTTTGTTTTTTGAAAATAAATTCAAACAATAGTATAAAGATTTTTAACCCGGGACTAAATGACAAGAGAAAATATCAGATGGATGGAGGAGAATCAAAAGAGAGACACTGCAAAACACTAGTAACCAGAGAATATATAGATACATGATTTCTCTATATATTTTTTACAACTGACAAGATAGCTACTAGTTAAACAGTTTTTGAATGCTAAAGTACTATGTAAAAAATATATAGGTTTTGAATGCTAAAGTACTATGTAAGGAATATTTGGTTGTATACATACATTCATATATACAATTTTTTTTGGTTACCACTCAGATTATTATTAATGCATACAATTTTGCTCATTCCAAAATGAATCGAACACTATTATATAACAAATGAATGGTGGTAATGAATAAAAAATAAGATAGTTATATTTCGGTCGTACACATATACGTTATATAATGTACATAAAAGTCAAGATGATCGAATCTGGCGTGGGTTCAACTATCCATGTGGACCATGCCACACCAATAGCCGCCATCGCCATCAACCAACCCCAACCCCATTCTCAATTCAAATTCCATACCATTTCTTCTATATCCCGTATGTATGTGTAAATATAGATATTTCTTCTGTAGGCACGTATGAAAATAAATATAATCATCCACTTTGAGGGAAACTACTCCCACCAATACTTGTAAATTTGAAAATTGTAGTCGGTCTAAAGTGTTTAAGACTCTTAAATATCTTCAAAACAAAACAAAAAGACATAACATAAAAACAGTTCTACTGCATAAATACTCCTATAAAACAAAACAAAGAATGATTGCGATGTTTTAGGAGTATTAATATAATAATAACTATATAGAGAGAGAGGGAATGAGAAAAGAGATTGCTGTATCAAGAGAAAAGGAATCAGATGCGGCGAGGCTGTACAATTATACGGTCCTCGTCGGGTAGCGCGTGGGGGCCAATAAGTTAGAGAAGACGCAGAATAGAAAATGTTGATTGATTCATTCCTATTTTTCATCTTATTATACATTTTTTTTCCGATGCTGCTTTTTCTTTAAAACTATGCTTTGTTTAGGTCATATATAAAAATAACTGTATCTCTGTATGCGCAATCAGTGTGCTCTACTTATTTGTTTCATGAGTCAGTGACGTTAGTGGCTTACTTGCTGGCTTCGTATTGATTCTTTGGACTAGAATGTGGTGAATTATAGGAACTTCATACGCTCTCTCAAGAGGCGTGCCTACATGTAAATAAAAGAAACTTTAGTGTAGGGCAGCAATTTTTTTTTAATTATCGGGCAGCAAATTTTTGCTTTTAAATATATTTTTAAAAGATAATTTTTGAAGTAATCTATTTGATAATTTTATTATGAATTATGACCTTTTTTAAAATAATTCATAAGAGAGATCTACTAATTTATTTTTAATTTGTTGTTAATCTGCTAGTAATTTGTAATTAGTCTAGCATTAGTCAGCTAGTAGTCCACATTAAATTATTTGACAAATCAGTATGCCAGTAATCTGCTAGTAATCTGCATTCAATATGCCATTAGTCTGTCATTAGTCTACAAATAATAGTAGAGAATGGTAGCGCTAATATTTATAAAAGTCATAAAAATGAGTTATTTTCACAATTTTTCCTGAATAGTACTTGTTTTATATTATTTTATCATTCAAAGTCATTTTAGAATATTTCCTCTATTTATTAATTTTTTTTTTAATATTAATGATAATCATATTGTATTAATCTCAAATATGGATATAAATCTATACAATATGGGTTTATAAAATAGAAGTTAACAACAATAAATTAAATTGATATTAATTTATTATCAAAGTATTAGAGTAATTAAGAGAAACAATTAGGCCAATAATTTCATTCTTTTCTTTTTTTTTCCAGCTGTACTAATCTAACATTAATAAGTTTATTAATACAAAGTTTTTAAATATTTTTTTAACAATTAGTTGTATTTAAGTAAAATTATTATTTTTTTGCAAATTTTCCTTTTTAATTATTTTTCTAAATAGTTTTCATCCATAATTGACAAATGATTTTAAAACATTAATTAATGATTTTTAGGGAAAAAGTAAAAAAAATAAATCAGTTTTATAATTACATTTTAATTTATTTAGTTTTATTTTATGATTTTTGCTATGTAATAATTATATTTATATTTATAATTTTTATTTTTACAAATGAGGGCATTATTTGATTTTTTTTTCCTTTGACCAATAGAGTTGGCACGGCCATGGCTCACTTGATTATAAAGATTTATTATTTAATTAAAAAGATTATTTGGTGAATAAAAAAAACAAGAATTCACAAACTAACCATGTTCTTTTTTATTTTTCTCTATCTCTCTAAAAAAAATTGGATAATTGGTGAATTATACGTTTCATTCTCGTAACTCTTCTTATTGGTTGTCGCTGGATAAAAGTTACTTTTTGGACGTCAATTTGTTTTTATCCCACACAAATTTCATTTGTTTCAGTCGCCAAATTTTTTTGTTTTCGTTAAATCTATAAAGTAAATTTCATTATTTTTCATGTAACTTTGATTTAATTATGATACCGATTTTCAACTCTCACAACTTATAAAAAAAAAATTAAAGAAAATGCTTGTTTTCCTGCAAAGCACACTAGTTTTCTTATGTAGTAATAGTAAATAATTAAGATCATGAGGCGTCAAAAAACTATAATTAGCGAGAAAGTAATGATGTATGGAGGAGGGTGGGTGACGTGGGTCCATGATGGATCTGGTACAGAACTACAGATGAAGCTGAGCTTGAGGCTGGTCCTTCCCACAATCCAATTTGGTAAATGTGTGTTAGTCTGTAAAAGAAACATACAAACTAACCGTATTCTGTATTTAACATAAAGCAAAATGATAAAGTGAAGGCCAATGATATCTGAAATTTTATATTACGCACTTAATTACCTTATTTATCATTGTTGTTTTGTTTCAACAGAGTTACATATACCAATAAAAAAGAGCAATATTCTTTTTTGAAAATCAATTCTATTATTTAACAACCAAATTAAATGATGGTTAATTGTGGTTTCATATGTACGTAGTATATTTATAAACATGCTTAACAAAAGTGTGCCATCATATTGGATGCCGAAAATGTGCCATTGAAAATCTAAGAACTTCAATATATGATATAATACTTACGGGAATACATATACTATAGTATTCATCGGATAAAAAAATTATAACTTCTAGGACACCTGTAGTATCGTAAAACAAATGTTATTGGATAACTGGATAAGTGAAGTTAAGGTGCGTAATGATTTTTAAATGTTTATCTTTCTATAGATAGATAACTAATAGATCTAAGACTGGATGGTCAGTGGTTTGCATGTGCTATACGATAATCGGAATTCTATAGATCCAAAGTGGTGACATCGGATAGGTATTGGCCACATATATATTCTAGTTTAATTTGTTTTTCCCTCGTTTATTATACAATTTTTATTAATCTTATATAGATAAAAGAAAATACAAATACAGGAAGTTTCAATTTTTATAAAACCCTATAAGGCTGACAGAAGAAATATACTCAACCTTGTTTTTTTCTTACAAAACAAATTTCTGAAACTCCCCATCGATCGGAATAGAAGAAAAAAAAAACAATAACATAGAGGACTTGACGAGATATGCCAAAGTCAACAAACCGAAATTCCCATATGTCAGAATATTAAAATAACATATTAACAAACAACAAGACAATTTGTATATCCATATCAGTTAGTAACGGGTAGAATATTTGCATATTCTGACATCATTTGGATAGATACAATTTGATAAGAATCATGTTGGAGTTCAGTGACTTCAGCAATGATGGATCTAAAACTAACTAATTTGTAACCATTCATAATAATGAGAAGGGCAATCATGACAGTTGAGATATGAAATAAGAATACATGAATGTAGTTTAGTTTTCAATTTTCAGAAATATGAAGGCTTAATTTGAATGTTAATTTTATATTGTATTTGTGGATAGATGGGCACGTCATAATCGATATTTCTTTAAAACGGGTTCATTTATTTGAAGAAAACAACACATATTTTTAGAGTGACGTAAACATTTTTGCACAAAAAGAAAATGATCA